TGTTTCGAAATAGGCCAAATTATGGGGCTTCCCTCTCCCTCAGAGCTTACAGGCGGCGCGCCCAAGATTCTGAGGTGATGATAGTCTTTCTTTTAAAATGTCGGTCATTTATCCAAATTATTATTTTAGGTTATTTTTGTCTTGTCATTTGTTTCTGAAATAGGCCAAATTATGGGGCTTCCCTCTCCCTCAGAGCTTACAGGCGGCGCACCCAAGATTCTGAGGTGATGGTAGTGTCTCTTTTGAAATGTCGGTCATTATCCAAATTATTATTGTAGGTCATTTTTGTACTGTCATTTGTTTCGAAATAAGCCAAATTATGGGGCTACCCTATCCCTCAGAGCTTACAGGCGGCGCGCCCAAGATTCTGAGGTGATGGTAGTCTCTCTTTTGAAATGTCGGTCATAATCCAAATACTTTTGTAGGTGATTTTTGTAGTGTCATTTGCTTCTGAAATAGGCCAAATTATGGGGCTACTTTATCCCTCAGAGCTTACAGGCGGCGCGCCCAAGATTCTGAGGTGATGATAGTCTCTCTTTTGAAATGTCGGTCATTATCCAAATTATTATTGTAGGTCATTTTTGTACTGTCATTTGTTTTGAAATAGGCCAAATTATGGGGCTACCCTCTCCCCTCAGAGCTTACAGGCGGCGCGCCCAAGATTCTGAGGTGATGGTAGTCTCTCTTTTGAAATGTCGGTCATAATCCAAATACTTTTTTAGGTCATCTTTGTACTGTCATTTGTTTCGAAATAGGCCAAATTATGGGGCTACCCTCTCCCTCAGAGCTTACAGGCGGCGCGCCCAAGTTTCTGAGGTGATGGTAGTCTTTCTTTTAAAATGTCGGTCATTTATCCAAATTATTATTTTAGGTTATTTTTGTCTTGTCATTTGTTTCTGAAATAGGCCAAATTATGGGGCTTCCCTCTCCCTCAGAGCTTACAGGCGGCGCACCCAAGATTCTGAGGTGATGGTAGTGTCTCTTTTGAAATGTCGGTCATTATCCAAATTATTATTGTAGGTCATTTTTGTACTGTCATTTGTTTCGAAATAAGCCAAATTATGGGGCTACCCTATCCCTCAGAGCTTACAGGCGGCGCGCCCAAGATTCTGAGGTGATGGTAGTCTCTCTTTTGAAATGTCGGTCATAATCCAAATACTTTTGTAGGTGATTTTTGTAGTGTCATTTGCTTCTGAAATAGGCCAAATTATGGGGCTACTTTATCCCTCAGAGCTTACAGGCGGCGCGCCCAAGATTCTGAGGTGATGATAGTCTCTCTTTTGAAATGTCGGTCATTATCCAACTTATTATTGTAGGTCATTTTTGTACTGTCATTTGTTTTGAAATAGGCCAAATTATGGGGCTACCCTCTCCCCTCAGAGCTTACAGGCGGCGCGCCCAAGATTCTGAGGTGATGGTAGTCTCTCTTTTGAAATGTCGGTCATAATCCAAATACTTTTTTAGGTCATCTTTGTACTGTCATTTGTTTCGAAATAGGCCAAATTATGGGGCTACCCTCTCCCTCAGAGCTTACAGGCGGCGCGCCCAAGTTTCTGAGGTGATGGTAGTCTTTCTTTTAAAATGTCGGTCATTTATCCAAATTATTATTTTAGGTTATTTTTGTCTTGTCATTTGTTTCTGAAATAGGCCAAATTATGGGGCTTCCCTCTCCCTCAGAGCTTACAGGCGGCGCGCCCAAGATTCTGAGGTGATGGTAGTCTCTCTTTTGAAATGTCGGTCATTATCCAACTTATTATTGTAGGTCATTTTTGTACTGTCATTTGTTTCGAAATAAGCCAAATTATGGGGCTACCCTATCCCTCAGAGCTTACAGGCGGCGCGCCCAAGATTCTGAGGTGATGGTAGTCTCTCTTTTAAAATGTCGGTCATTTATCCAAATTATTATTGTAGCTAATTTTTGTAGTGTCATTTATTTTTGAAATAGGCCAAATTAATTATGGGGCTACCCTATCCCTCAGAGCTTACAGGCGGCGCGCCCAAGTGTCTGAGGTGATGGTAGTCTCCCTTTTGAAATTATAATTGTAGGTTATTTTTGAGTGTCATTTGTTTTTTTTAATAGGCCAAATTATGGGGCTTCCCTCTCCCTCAGAGCTTACAGGCGGCGCGCCCAAGATTCTGAGGTGATGGTAGTCTCTCTTTTAAAATGTCGGTCATTTATCCAAATTATTATTGTAGCTAATTTTTGTAGTGTCATTTATTTTTGAAATAGGCCAAATTAATTATGGGGCTACCCTATCCCTCAGAGCTTACAGGCGGCGCGCCCAAGTGTCTGAGGTGATGGTAGTCTCCCTTTTGAAATTATAATTGTAGGTTATTTTTGAGTGTCATTTGTTTTTTTTAATAGGCCAAATTATGGGGCTTCCCTCTCCCTCAGAGCTTACAGGCGGCGCGCCCAAGATTCTGAGGTGAAGGTTGTGTCTCTTTTAAACTGTCAGTCGTCAACCACAGTATTACTGAATTTTCATTTTCCAGAGTTCATAGTGGTACCTTCTTTATAGTTTTACGTGATTTGTGGCAAAGACAAGACCAGGCTGACAAATTTATTCTAGTTTTTGCGTGGTGCGACAATCACCGCGGCTGAACGGCCTTCAAAGTTCCTTTATAATTTGGACGCTTCTCAGGAGTTTCTTCACTGGTTGTAATCCCGAATTGGCGATTCTCAGCAGCTTGAAGCTCTTGCATTGCATCAGTTGTTCCTTGGACGGCGACCTTTTCTTGTCCCGAGTACAAAATCGATTCTCGATTCTCGACTCTCGATTACCGTATCTTGCTCGTGCAAGGTTTCGGCAACGGGACCAGTACTAACACCATTGCAGGAAAACTGTTTAAAAGAAGAAGAGTAAAATGGTGGCTTCGGCGCGTTACCTGTCTGATGCTCGGTATATCACTGCCAAACTGCGCAACAGAATGCGCGAAAAACCCCTCCGGTACTTGAAAAAAAAGAAAAAAAACCTGAGCGATATAATTTAGTAACTTATTCATGGTGTTCACCTTCCGGTTTATTCAGCTTATTGCCAGTTGTAGGCAAAGTTCACGCGCACATTATCGCACTCTAACTGAGTTGATTGCGAGGAAACTCTTATGTCAGTCATTGACTACCCCCCCCCCCCGCGTTGAGCCTTTGTGCGATGGACGTCCCTTAGAAATATAAATTACCCACACTGATCGCCAATTCTACTTGCAAAGTGTTGCGGATTGAGTTGTGTAATGTATTCTAGAGTGTAAATTTAGTACTAACCTCGCAGACAAGGATGCAATGAGACATTTATTTGCGTAGTTAGGCCTACTATCCATTGGGCAAGCATCCCTTTTATTTCCTTTCGATAGCCTGTCCATGCACTAACCTTTGGATACAGAAACTAGCTGCCTCTCGCTGTACCAAAACTTGGTAGTTTTGGCGTTCAATATTCTTAACAGGTGCTCACAAAACACCGGGACTGCATCGTGCGCCTTTGGCGCTTTGGTACCCTGCAAGCTTTGGTTCATCGCGTTTTGAAAGATGGAAATTTTGAAATTCCCGCGTAAAAGAAGACCGATAAAACGTGTCTTTCATTGACTACAGTGAAACGCCCGGAAATGAAGAATGTTTTGAAAGAAACGGGAAAACTGATAAAAGTAAATATTTTTTGTGATAAGCGAAATTAATGAGAAATAACCATAAACTAGTTTTGTTGTTTTGTTTTTTAAAAGCGGTTTGTCTGGTACCAAATTTGTACAATTACTTTCAATCAAACATGGATCGGGTTTTGTTAACTATGACAGAATGTAATTAAAAAGCATTATGTTGACAGCTACAAGGCACATGCTTGCCTTAAGCTGCGAGTATCCTGCCATGTTTTAAACAAAGGGCCTCTAACCAAGCCGGCATTCTAATCCGCCACAAATATGTGAAGCACGCGTCTTTCAAAGTCGCCTAGTACTTAAAATCGGGGCTCTGGCCTGTTATGGCGTACGCCTGTACACTCTTTGTGGGGAAGGGAATCATGTATCAGCCCGTCGGAGGGAGGAGCATGTTGTAAATCGTGCGATGAATTTGTGTGTCCCGCGTTTTTCTTGGCGGGAAATCGCGCAAGAAATGGCATGGCCAGCGGCGTCGCATCCAAAAATTTGTTTACTTTAGGAACTTGTTTTCAAGTATTTTAGGCATAATGATTTGTGATCGTAGTGCTCAGTTTCCAGTAAACTGTTTCCAAAAAAGAGTTATAAAAACAAACAATAGCGGATTTAATTCAACCTAATTGCTTGTAAGTGAAGAGCGATGGGAAAGAGAAAGAAGAGAAAGGCAAAGAGCAAGAATTAAAGTGCAACTAACTCCCAAAAATGTTTTTCGCTAAATGAAATCTCCCTATTTTTCTGATTACTTCTGCGAAAAAAATTATCGGGATTGACAAAATCCTCGCGTCTCCATGGCTGTTTAAATTTAGGTTTCTTGTGTTCCATTACCGAGTTTTCGTGGGAGATGGGTACGAATGTTGTTGTGACGTCATCGAAGGAGGACTTCTGCCGCGAACTCATGAGTAAATGACCGAGAAGCGAGAAAGGGGAAATCATTTTTAACTAGCGGGATGCTAAAACGACCAAAATTCAACGGAATATGATTCAACTTCTGATAGAAGTTTTAATTCAGAAGATTATGAGGCAAAAACTTTCATGTGAAAGCCTAGAAAATGACATTGCATATGCCGATGAACCTTTAGCTGATGAAGAATGGATAAAAAAGTACGAAGAAGAAGTTGTTGAAACAAATAAGCTAGAGCACGAACTACGGGAAAGACTTGAAGGGTCAGTTCAAGTGGATTCTTGGTGAGTGTCGGCAAATTTGTCGTATGATCGTGTGAAGATCGAAGTAAAAGCTTATGTAAATAATCGAGTACTTGCTTGTTTGGCGGCGTGATTGCTGTAATCTATGATGAGAGTTGTTAGCTTTCGCTGCAAAAAGTGGTATTTTTGTATGATTCTAGCTACCTTGATTGCTATAGTGTTCCTGTGGAAACTGCAGCCGTGTTGTTCTTCAGAATTTGAGCGAGTGCTACTGCTGCCAGGAGCCAGATGGTTGCAAAGAAGCCACGTGTAGCTAAAGAGTTCTTGAAGATATTCAACCCGAAACGGCCTTAAGGTGTATCACACAACATCCTGGTTTTGGTCCTGTCTGCCTTCAAAAGTGGAGCTTACGTATGGCTGGCGAACGTGTCAAGACCAAAGTCAAACAGAGATATAGACAAACTGGATCCGAAGAACGGTGAGATAGTTTTTGTTATCTTTGTGCCCCATTGGAGTCAAATACGATCGATATGGTACACACTCGATTTGAAAACATAAAATTCTTTAATACATCGTCCAGCCGAAATTAAATACTTTTCTTATTGTCTTTTTTTGTTGTTACAGTTACTTGCGTAGCATTACTTACAGGGAGTTTTCAAGGCTTGTCTATGGTTTTCTGGGAAACAAGCGAATTCCTCTTCCGCGTGTGCTTACACGGCAATAAGAAAACAATTTCCTGTCGGCACAGATGAAACCTACACTGGATTCAAACTCGACGGAGATGATTAAGTAAACTTTTAGGCTTTTTCCTATGTAAATTACTGTGTTATTAAATTGTTGATCATCTGTTTCACTGTCTGTTTCACTTCATCATTGTTGACGTACACAGTAGATTCATAATGAACTGTAGCTTTTACCACTATTTTTTTTCTTTTGATATAAAATTTTATAAATTTCAATAAGCATATAATAAAAAAGAACTAGTGATAAATCAACAGGTGGGGTGTTCGCCCGGGGGATACTCACCGTAATGGCCTATAAAGGGAGGCTCTGCCCAAAGGGGGTACCTTGCAAATTATTTTTTCTCTAACGTCACCCAGCCCCATGCAGTTAACCGATTTGTGGATTACAAGTTTATTGTTTGATTTAAATTATAAAGTTTCTAACTAGAGCTACGCTTTTAGCCCTGGCTAAATCTATATATTACATATGTACAAGGGAACAAAACGACAGTCAAATTAGTGAAATGCGTTACAGAGATTTTCGTATGACCTTGAAATGACAACGCGAGAACAAAACAGAAACAAGCAAACGAAATTTGTTTATCGAACGGATACAAACGCGCGCAGCTCTTTGTTGGTTAAGCTAACGCTCGGGTGAAACAACTTCATGCCCGAAAAATTTCTACAAATCAATCGACACTTCGCTTTGACGTCATACTGCAACACGATTGGCCAATCGAGCATGCCTTTTCCATATTAGGGTTTTCTTTGGCGGGATAAAAAAAAGACAACTAGCGAACACTTACCAAACCCATTTTTCAAGGCCTTACGAAAATCGCTCTGGTATTTACACCTTTATAACAGTGAGAGGGAAATGGTTTCTACTGTGAATGTCGCCGTAATACTCAAACGACATTCTTGATACCCTTTTACAGCACTTGCAATTTCGATACAAGCAGTCTCCTCCAGGGTCTCCTGGATATCATTTCGAGTTCTTGACGCTCTCGACATTTCATTTCGGGTTCACTAAAAACTAGCAGTAATTCGACCTTCAGAAAAAATTTTCCCCAACAACGTGGCTATTATGGGGTATTATGCAGATGTGACAATCGTCTTATCAAATCGCTAACAAAGAATTCTGGGGAATCAGGGCCCGGATTAGGGGAACGGTTCACCGTACAAAATTTCCGCAAAATATACACTTGTTTGGTGATAGGGAAATATTTATTTAGCCATTGTTTTCATTATTTCGCTTTTGATCAGTGTTAATATTTCAACGTAAAATCAAACAAACAGGAGTTCGGTAATGGCAAGTTTGATTATTGGTACGACCATGGACCGTTCCGTAATTGAACGCTCGATTTTGTTCGATTGACCAAATTTTATTGTGAGTTCGATTATGTTCCATTAACGAACCTAATCGAACGACTGGTGTTCGATTGGGTTCGATTACCCAACGGTTCGATTAGATACGCCGGGGAGAAAGGACAAAGCTATACATTCCAGTTCGGGATGCTCGATGCGAGATGGGGAAAATCCTTAGCTTAAAAGTCCTAACAGCCACAAACCCAACGCCGAGTCCAAGCCAATATGTACTTGCTTCATTTCAGCTCATTAGCCAAGCAATCCGGCTACTGTAACCGACGCCGAGAGGCAGTTTGTTTTCAGAAATCCAAGCAAAAAGAAGCCGAAGAGCCCTGTACATTTCCACCACGACTAAGCCCGCTTGCGTAACCCTGCCTCGTCTACAAACTAAGCCTCACGGGATAATCAGACCGTCACTTGTCATCGATTGTAACAATGCATGATCTCTTGACGAATCGACAAGAGGGGAGCCGGAGTTTGAAACAAAAATTGTCCATGAGTAGCCTAGTGAGGCTTAGTTTGTAGACGAGGCAGAGTTACGCAAGCGGGTTTTGCAACGAATGACATTTCTTTCGAACGGGTAGCCCGAGCGGCTCCAAGGGATAACTTTTTTTTTTCGAACGGATAGCCTGAGCCGTTTGAACCGGTACCAAATGTTTGGAAAAGCCTTTCACAACTATCAGTTACTGTAATTTCGTGTAACCAGGGCTCAAAATAACGGCCGGTCGGGACTGATTGGGGAGTTGACCGGTCAACCTTTCGTCTTGCCGGTCACACTTAAGAGCGCCTGTCCGTAAAAATCAAACATATCGCGGCAAGGGTGGAAAATTCGATTTCTTTCATATTTTTAATGTTTGATAGGTTAGGGTATAACTAAAATCACTGTATGGTTTTTTTTGGTCTGTTGCTATTTACGCGCTATCACTTTGCTCTTTATCTTCGAGATTATCCTCGTCATCAATAAGCAGATCGTCTCATTCCTCTTGTATTCCTACTATTTAAGAAAGTTATGAGGAGGAGAGAAGGCGCTTATTCGACAGGGGCGCTTGTTTGAAATTTTGGCCAACGGTGTTAGCGCTTATTCGGGGACGGGTACTTATTAGATCCTGGGCCCTTACCGAGGAAATACAGTACACAGATATGTAACAGGTTAAATCAAAAAGAGTTAAAAATGAACGCACAGGAGAGACCACCAAACGCGTTAAGATACATTTAGACAAAACAGAAATAACATTTGTTGAAAAGAAAAGTTAACAAGCGCCTCCCTTATTAAGCGCCCTCCTTCCAGTATAAGCACCTCTCCTTTTAGCCGAGGTGGGGCGCTTGTTCGAGGAAATACGTTATTTACATAGCTTGCAAAATATAACGAAGTTTTAAAGAGCTGTCTCGTAACACCACCACTACTATGATTCTAAGAGAAGCGTTGGGAAATGACCTAATGCCAGAGGTCCCTAGGCTGTGACTGCATGCTTACGTTAGAGTTTGTTCTACAGAATTGCAGCTGCAGCCTTGTACTAAATTCTTCAACAGCTTCAAGTACGGCTTCTTTCGGCGGGTTATGGCACTGATAACGGTCCTGATACCGTTTAATAAAATCACCCAGTCCGGGAGCTGACAACCAAAGTTTTGAATAAACAAAATAACCAGTATTTGGATCTTAATAGGGAAAGACCGTGTCTAAGGGTATCACAATCTTAAGTTATACATTGTCTTCATTCACTCTATACCGGAGAGCTTTTGTGCAGGCACAAAAAGAAAGCATTCCCGATAGCGCTTCTGTTCACGCAAATAAGGGTGATTTCGGTCCGAAAAAGCCCCTAGGGGTTACTTGGGTTAATTTTTGCCGGGGTGTACCGCTGGACTCTCAGAGCCCCTACCCCATTATAGTCTATTTTGTGGTCAATTCTATTCTATTCATGAATTGACCCACTTTTTTGTGTAATCTACAATATATTGGAGAAACTAAATGTCGCCTCAAAGACCGTTTTAACGAACACAGACAGCCTATACTCAACCCTCCTGGTAATTACACCCATACTGCAGTTTCAGAACACTTTCTAACCACTAATCATTCCGACAATCATATTCTTTTGATTCCTATTGAAAAACTTAAAAATGGGCGTGATTCTTTCAGGAAAGCACGTGAAGTCCACCTTATCCATAAAGCTAAGACAATTGAGCCTCTGGGCATCAATAAACGTGATGAACTGTAACTAAATATAGTATATCTTTTAATTGCTGGTTTTCAGTGTCACGCCATTCAAAATAGATTAAAATCAAAATCAAAACCGTTCAATAGATAAAGTCCACAATCTGGGAAATGAAAGGAGGTAAATATGCAAAGACCCTCGCCAAGATTCAGGTCAAAGGAATATTTCGTATACGAAATATTCGAAGAAACGTTTTACCTAAATTTATAGAGATTTAATTGTCTGGAGACGCCATGCTGGTGCTCATCCGGATGAGCTCCAACATGGCGGACGGAAACTACTGAGAAACATCTGTTACCGAGTTTAGCTACAAAAGCGTGAATTTATTCTTGGAAGAACTCGTAAACATTAAAGTAATACTTTTTCTAATAAATGAACTGTTTAGATAGGAAAATTACCTTAGATAAGTCATTTTTTTAACCTATGTGACAGCTTTCTTGGCCGTCATGTAAATGCCGCGTCACGCAAAAGCTTAGAAATTCAAGCGTACTCTATCACAAAACCAAGAACCGTTTTGAAGCGAAAATTTGTATGAAAATTAGTGTTCAGCTGCTCTAATACATTGTGAAAGTAAAATCTCGGTAGGATCGATAGTTTTGTAGTTTGAATTTTTAGTGACGTCTTGTGAAAACCAGCATTTCTTTGTTATCTTGTCTTTTGAAAGTAGCCACAGCATACCAAGTCATATTATGTAATTTCCGGTCATTATTTTACTTCATATATATTGCTGTAAACTGGTGTTATCTCAATATACCTGATGAAGACTGGTATTGGCCAGTCGAAATATCGGAACCACACTCTATTTCACGTTGTTTGGTCAGTCCCTGCAAAGTCTTCTTGACTGTAACGTTTTCATTTTTTTAGATTGAATGAGACCACTTTACTTTCTGCCTGTAGTACAAGCATTCTGGTACGTTTGCTAACCGTAAATATGACGAACAGTCTTACTCCCAAAAATCCGAAAATGTGTGACCCCATTCTAAAAACTCTATTGAAAATGCGACCCCATTATAGTCAATCCAGTCGTAAAAATGCAACCCCATCCAGCGGCACATCCCAATTAGCCTCTTATAAGGCAGTACCCTCCCCCCGGGGAAAAAGCAAAGCTGCGACGCGCCGGTCTCTAAACAGGAGAGTCACATACCGGATAGGCGCTCATACTTTAACGGATAGCTTTTTGTGTCT